ACTGGCTTCGCAGCTGTTAATTCACAATGACTAATGAATTGTTTGGCGCCAGAAATTGCGCGTTTTGTTATAACTGAAGAAAAATCCATTAACGCGGTATATCCGCTTAAAGTTTAATCAAACCTCTCATTTCCTTGACAGTCACCGAGGAGGCAAATAGCCTTTTTGTTGTTAACGAGATTGTGATTAATTGAGTGACGCAATGTGCTCATCCAAAGATCCGTTCTGTTCTTCGCGATGAATTTGTTCTCGGTTTCGTCAGCTTTTCAAGTTAGCTTCGTTGTTTCAGTTTTCCGTTTGCTTGATCGGTCAAGATATGCTGAAACTAATTTGTCAACTTCGCGTTTTTTTCTGGGTAGACTGGGTTGTGGTAAGACATTCTCATCTACGGACTCTTTCATTATAAACCGGACATGACCGACTCAATAAGGATGCGGAACACATGCATAATTTTTCCATTATACGTTTTGAGATCCGTTCTCAATTATTAGAAGCAGTTATTTGTGGTTGACAATAGGCTAAACAGGTGACCGAGAGAATAGGGGTTCCTTTTTTACGAGTCAAATTATCTTTTGAGATTGCCATTGCGACCCCCTTTTTTTTTTCGAAATTCAAGTTTTAAATAACTCGAAGTTTGAATATAGGGCATGGATTGTCGAAAATCGTGATAGCAATTTCTTTTCAATTAATTTCAGATAAATTGTTGAACCTTTATCTATACTTTCGCGAAAATCTCTTCGACCTCTTTTATAAATAATTAAGTGAAAACGGCGTGCTCAAATGGATCAAGCAAACACGTTTTACGGCACGGCAAACCTTTGAGGCCCAACTGACTAGTGGGGGGAAAACCCGTCAGCATTTTATTTTGTATACCAAGATTGTTTTAAGAGTTTTTTAAATACTCAAGCAGCATAACTCAAAGTACGAAATGCATTACTGAGAGGAAGCATGAATAATCCAAGAACTGACGTTAAAGAAGCTATTTTAAGGATATATTTGTATATTTTTTAATTCAGGAGACTGCTTCAATGCCATCTGGCTATACATCTAATGCTATTCTTTGAAAAAAAAATAAAGGCCAGAAAAAAGTGCAAACTGTCACACAAGGCTATCTCAGGTAGATAAGAGCCGATGATTAGAATCGTTGACTGGATGGAGGCAATACAAAATATATATGCATATACTTGCGAAGGAAAATTGCGGAAAGGAAATAAAAAAAGGATAAAACGCAGCAGCATGAATGGGATCTTACAATAAAAATTCCCGCAAGGAAAATTTGAGCAAAAACAAATGCGTGTGGCTTAAGAATTCTTCATCCCCATATAACTGTTTAAATAGTCCGTAGGGGTTTATACTTTCAAATTTAGTAGAAATAAAATGTACACTGCGGCGACAAACATGACAAACAACGCATGACAAAAAACTTGAACTATGATTGTACAAACTTGACGATTTGTATGTTTTGAAAAACATCTTTATAGAGACCGCGTTAAACTAAATTTAAATATAATGTTGAACACTGCTGAAAGCTTTTCCAGGAACATGAAATAATAAATTCAATGGCATACAGACTTCGGTTGAAATCTGCAAACAATAAAAACCAAGCTTGGAAAGAAATAGTTTCTCGCTGCTATCGTTTTCATCAAAGGTAGGTGAATTCGCGCATCAACAAAGTCTCTTTTATCTTAACATGGATAACGTCCTGTTGCCAAAATTTCGAAAGTATCCATGTAGGGCGAGCGTTGTTTTGTAGTGTTTGTGTTCGCAGTCAGCTTTTTTATTCCTACTTGAGCTGAAATGGCCATAGAATAAGAGTGCTTATTGATCGACATTCTGATTGGTTCCTTAAGCGGTCCGAAAGGGTCACTGGATCTTTTCGGCGATACGGCGGCCATTTTGAATTCTGTTGTTTCAAATAACTATTATGGGATGATGCTTAGGGGGAAATATAATTCAAAATGGCCACCGTATTGCTGAAAAGGTCCATTCCTTCTATGAGACGCACCTGCAGGGAATCATGGTATAGTTGTATTCAGTCAAAGCAAATATCCAGTCCAAGATGATGAATACAACTACCATGATTCCTTGCAGTCAAGTCTCATAGAGGCAGACTGCTTAGATATGGACCGCTCAGAGATAGTGTTGGCATATTGCTTTTCCAAAACATTAAGTGCACAAAAAAGACAATTTCATCTTAGATAGAAATTTTTTTTTTTCATGTCTGGAGGATAATTTCAGTTAAACTTTTGCGAAAGTGGCCTGAAAATGTAAATATACGCTTAACTTCGAAGCACGCTAACCGATAATCGAGGCATTAATTTATTAGCAGAATTTTAAAAGAGCCATTGTAATACTTCACTAGACTACTTTGTTCTGTCCCTCCTGGGAATGTTGGTCTCCAAATTTTTTTTTTTTTGCAAGTTATGGACCGATCCGTAAGCTAGACTAAAACCCGACGAATATATCCCCAGTACGGATACATGTATTAGGATTTACCTTCAAATTCACTCATGCTTCGAAGCCCTACACTAACTCACTGTACGCTAACATGTCTGCTAGCACCGAGGATCGGTCAAGAACCTTGTTGGACAATGAATTTCAGGGTGTGCATAAAGCTAAGTGATCAAATTTTTACCCCTTTCAATTTTAGGTGTATCACAGGAATTCAACGAAACTAAAAGTGATGTTTTCTGTTTGCAAATATCTCTGT